GAATTTTGTAGATTTTCAGAGTTTTTGAATTTTCAGAATTCCTCGAATGTCAGATTCTCAGATTTTGAGCATTTTCCAAATTTTCAGAATTTTTGAATTTTCAGAATTTTTAAACTTTCAGAATTTTGTAGATTTTCAGAGTTTTTGAATTTTCAGAATTCCTCGAATGTCAGATTCTCAGATTTTGAGCATTTTCCAAATTTTCAGAATTTTTGAATTTTCAGAATTTTTGAACTTTCAGAATTTTGTAGATTTTCAGAGTTTTTGAATTTTCAGAATTCCTCGAATGTCAGATTCTCAGATTTTGAGCATTTTCCAAATTTTCAGAATTTTTGAATTTTCAGAATTTTTGAACTTTCAGAATTTTGTAGATTTTCAGAGTTTTTGAATTTTCAGAATTCCTCGAATGTCAGATTCTCAGATTTTGAGCATTTTCCAAATTTTCAGAATTTTTGAATTTTCAGAATTTTTGAACTTTCAGAATTTTGTAGATTTTCAGAGTTTTTGAATTTTCAGAATTCCTCGAATGTCAGATTCTCAGATTTTGAGCATTTTCCAGATTTTCAGAATTTTTGAATTTTCAGAATTTTTGAACTTTCAGAATTTTGTAGATTTTCAGAGTTTTTGAATTTTCAGAATTCCTCGAATGTCAGATTCTCAGATTTTGAGCATTTTCCAAATTTTCAGAATTTTTGAATTTTCAGAATTTTTGAACTTTCAGAATTTTGTAGATTTTCAGAGTTTTTGAATTTTCAGAATTCCTCGAATGTCAGATTCTCAGATTTTGAGCATTTTCCAAATTTTCAGAATTTTTGAATTTTCAGAATTTTTAAACTTTCAGAATTTTGTAGATTTTCAGAGTTTTTGAATTTTCAGAATTCCTCGAATGTCAGATTCTCAGATTTTGAGCATTTTCCAAATTTTCAGAATTTTTGAATTTTCAGAATTTTTGAACTTTCAGAATTTTGTAGATTTTCAGAGTTTTTGAATTTTCAGAATTCCTCGAATGTCAGATTCTCAGATTTTGAGCATTTTCCAAATTTTCAGAATTTTTGAATTTTCAGAATTTTTAAACTTTCAGAATTTTGTAGATTTTCAGAGTTTTTGAATTTTCAGAATTCCTCGAATGTCAGATTCTCAGATTTTGAGCATTTTCCAAATTTTCAGAATTTTTGAATTTTCAGAATTTTTGAACTTTCAGAATTTTGTAGATTTTCAGAGTTTTTGAATTTTCAGAATTCCTCGAATGTCAGATTCTCAGATTTTGAGCATTTTCCAAATTTTCAGAATTTTTGAATTTTCAGAATTTTTGAACTTTCAGAATTTTGTAGATTTTCAGAGTTTTTGAATTTTCAGAATTCCTTGAATGTCAGATTCTTAGATTTTCAGAATTTTCCAGATTTTCAGAATTTTTGAATTTCCCAGATTTCCAGATTTTCAGAAGTTTTGAATTTTCAGAATTTTCCAGGTTTTCAGAAGTTTTGAATTTTCAGAATTTTCCAGATTTTCAGAATTTTTGAATTTTCGGGATTCCTGGAATGTCAGATTCTCAGATTTTGAGCATTTTTCAGATTTTTCAAAAATTTCCCAAAAAATTCACCTTTGGACCCAAAGGTAAAAAGTTAGTAGATCCAACAAGTTTTTTTTGTTTCTTCAATTTTTTGGGAGGAGGAGAAAAGACACAAAAATGTATCAAGTTTCAGTTATGAGCGGCTCATAGGGGAGAGGAAAAAGAAAATTCTTCTGGAGAAAAAAGAAAACTTTTTTCTTCGCACATTCATTTTTTGGGAGCTCTTGTTTCTTCTAGAACTTTCCTTTTTTTTAGATGAAACATTGGAATTTTGAATTTTTTTCAAATTTTGACATTTTGATCTCAAATTTTCGAAAAAATTTTTTATCTTTTTGGATCCAATTTTTTCTGTAATTCTTGATCTACTAAACAAAATGAGGTTTAACGGATCGGAATGTTCATTTTTAACACATTCCTTGTTGGCTCCGCCCACAATTTTTGTTCTGTAACATTTTGGAGTCACTTTTCATAAACTTTGAACAAAAAATTGTTTTTACATAGTCTTTCAAGCGTAAGAATCGTTTTTAGCATTTTTTTAATAAGTTCAGTCAGGCTATTTTCTAAAAATACCAAACATTCCAGTCATTTTGGTACAAAAATCATCTTTCTAGGTTAACTTTGAAGAAAGTTATGAGTTTTACTGAGGCTTAGAAAACTTTTACTGAGGCTTAGGGATTTTTACTGACGCTGAGCACATTTTTACTGAGGCTTAGGATTTTTACTGAGGCTTAGAAAATCGCAAGCCTCAGTAAAACTTGAATGGCTCATAACTCGGCTCAAAGTCGACCTAGAAAAGTGATTCAACCACCAAACTAATCAAGAAAATTAGCAAAATTTTTGTACTTAAAGTATGAATTTCAATTCCGTAAAACCTGTAATAGAAGGGCTCTCTATAGGAGTTAAGCTTAGACAATAGCTTTTTCAACTCAAATTCAATGTTTAGAGGAATTTCAACTAGATTTTTTTTTGAAAAATAGTTGATTAGATACACGGACAGACCGGAGAGAAAGAGAGAGAGAGAGAGAGAGAGAGAGAGAGAGAGAAAGAGAAAGAGACGCAGAGAAAAGAATTGATGAGTGAGTAATGTTGATCCGTTGGGGAGGGCTCCATGCCTCGTATCTTCATTTCCATCATCCTCATCACACGCTGTAACGATTGATCCCGTCTCTTTTCTCTGCGCCTCTCTCTCTTTATCTCTTGAGCTTCTTGTGATCAGCAACAAGAAGAGTTAATCGATTTTGAGAGAGAAACACGGATTTTTGATTTTTCAACTTTCAAAAAAAAATTTCCGGGTCAAGCCTATGATTCATAGCTAGCTGTTCCTCCCTGAAATGTTTATTTTTGTAAGGCTTTTTTTGTTCTTGAGGTAATCATCCCCTAATTATCATTTAATTAATATTGCTTCCTCCCAAAATTCCCATCATTTTGGCACTAAACCAATCATCTAGACCCATTTTGAAGCGAGTTATGACATTATCTCTTTTTCTGGGACATCTGAGAATTTTTCACTAATAATTGCATCTAATTTTAGAAAAATTTAGTTTAACTAATTTTTCATAAAATTCCACACATTTAGGTCCAAAAATCGACTTTCTAGACCAATTTTGGCGGAAGCTATGATGCTTTGAAGTTTTTTCCTAGTTTGGGATATAACTAGGCATTCGAATGATATTGATTTATGTATTTTACACTTTGAGATTTGACTAATTTCACTAATTATTTTGGCATAAAAACCAAGATTCTAGCTTGATTTTGAAGCGAGTTACAGCCGAGTTTGTTCCGAGGGCGCAATCAGCCAGAAGTGATAAGCGGCTGGCGCGACAGCGGTGGCGCCCTACCTGTCGCGCCCAACGACTATCGCCTCCGACTGAGCGCGCCCTACAAGCATCTATGACTGTAACTCGCTTCAAAATCAAGCTAGAAAGTTGAAACTTCAGGAAAATAAGCGGAATTCGATGACATTTAAGATCCTTATAGTCTTAAATCTAAAAAAAGAGCTAAAATTTATCGAATTTTTAAAGATTTTGAAATGGGTCTAGGTTAGAGAAAACATTTGGGACCATAACTCGCTTCAAAATCGAGCTAGGAACGGAAAAGGCGGTTTTTTTTTGCTGTAAAATTTGCTGTAAAACATTTTTTTTATTTCAAAATCCACAACAAAAAAATCAGGGTCAATCTCTTCAAACCTTTTGCGAATCTTCATAATTCCGTCGAAATTTTTCACAGAAAAGCGAAGAGGAAATTAGGAATAAAAGGTGTCACATTCGATTAGCTCATCTTCTTTTTTTGGGGTAGTTCAAAAAGACGGAAATAGTAAAAAGGGGAGACCCGCACGAATTTTCGTATTAGTATACATAATACAGTTCCTGTGGGAAGGAATATGGAAAAAATGGGTCATGAGGATACTGTAATCCTTTTACTTGAATTTCGTTTTTTTGCTGCTTTTATCGAACACTTCAAAAATATTTAAAAATTAATTTTTTTGAAAAATTCCAAAAAATTTTTTCACAATTTTAAAATGTTTAACTTTGAGCCAATTTATCTCAATTCCTCTTAGAGATATTAAAACGTTGTTAATTGATAAAATGTTTATCATTTTATCAGCTACATTTTATCAATTGACAACTTTTTTATATCTTTGACAAAAAGCGAGATAAATTGGCTCAAAGTTAAGAATGTAAAATGTCGCTTTTGAAGCCTATAAGTGCAATTTGAGCTCAATTATCTCGCTTTTTGTGAAAGATATCAAAACGTTGTAAATTGATAAAATGTTTATCATTTTATCAGCTACATTTTATTAGTAAAAACTTTTTGATATCTTTTATAGGAGCCGAGATAAATCGGCTCAAAGCTAAAGACCCTTCTATTTTTTGCAGTTTTTTAAATGAAGATTTTGTTTCACCTTTTTTTGATTGTATGTTTTCAATCCCTTTTGACCTAGATGTTTTTCATTTTCTGTGTCCCCTGACTTTTTGTAAACCATACATTGCTCATTCTTTGTCTCTCTTTGTACTTTGCCGGTTTTTTTTGCTGACCATGACTTTCCCTTTTTTCCAGGTTTAGCCGACAAAGTCAAGTCAAAGGAACAAAGTGATTCAGAGAAGAAGCCAAGAAAAAATGAGTCAAAAGGAGAAAAAAGGAGCCGGAGTGGACCTTTTTAAGGTATTTATTTACTTTAGTATACATACTGTTTGATCTAGGTTAGAGTATACTGTACTTTTGGGAATCGAAAACAACAGGAACTGTTTAACAAAAATTTCTGATAATTTTAGTGCAAAAACCAAGTTTCTAGCTTGATTTTGAAGCGAGTTACAGTCAAAGGCGCAGTTAGCTAGAAGTGGTAAGCGGCGGGCGCGACAGCGCTGCTCCCTCCATCGGCTGGCGCGACAGTGCCTACCTGTCGCGCGCGCCGACAATCACCTCTCGCTGAGCGCGCCCCTGGCTGTAACTCGCTTCAAATTGAAGCTAGAGACTTGGTTTTGGCATTAAAATGTGGAGAAAAAATTGAAAAATAAGATGAACAAAGATTTTTTCAGCTTTATTTATTTGAAACTGAAAATAAATGCCTAAAATTGGAACAATATGTTTCCAGGTAAAACTCGAACCACCATCTTTGGATTCCGAGCAGTTTGGTGGGAGCAGAACTATAGTAACCCAAGGAGACGACAAGGATTCAACAAGGCACACCATCGAAGTGTTGTTGGATATTAGTTAGTTTATTTTTTTGAATTCTGAAACTGAAATTTTGAGGAAAAAATCTGAAAAAAAATTAAAATGTGTTTAATTTATAAACTATTATACATAGTTTATAAACCCTATAAATCTATAAACGTGTACAAATAGATCAACTAGATCTGACCATTTCCTGCTCTCTCTCTCTCTCTCTATTCCCTATGTGCCAGGAGGCGGCTGTTCAAATTTTGCCCTCTTTTTCCTCCCCTTCCCGACCCCATTTGCTTTTTATTTTGTGTTTAATTCTGAGTCGTTTGTACGTGGAAGTTTCCCCTTTTTTGGTACCGGAACTTTGGACTTTTAATGCTAACTTGACCTAATCGGAATCTTTTAATTTTTATTTGGTATGATTATAACAAAAATTTTTACACATTTTAGTCAAAAAATCAAATTACTAGCTCCATTTTGAAGCGAGTTACAACCCTTTTTGTTCCGAGGGCGTGGGAAGCTAGAGGATCAATAAATGGTTACCTTGAAACGGAGATTTCCTACTGGCGGCTCTGCGTATGGGATTCCGTGGAAGACGTCACACACTTCTCCTTTTGGAGTCTTGACACGAAAACTTTCGAGAAGTCCTTGTTGGACGCGGACAATCTATAATTAGAAATTTTAAAACCTGAAAATATATAATTGAAAAAACTGACCGAACTCTCGTCTTTTCCAGATTTCAAGTTTGAGAAGCAGGTGCCCATATTATCCTGGTTGGTCGATGTTCGAACACCGGCTGGAAATTAATAGAGATTAAGAATGAGAACGGATATTTCTTCCATTTTT